TCTGTGAACACCATCATGAGGGAGGGAGGGAGGCACAGCTGGATGTGCGCCACTGTGTGTGTGCCCTGCTCTGCACACCAGGGTGTCTGAACATGGCTGAGGAGGCAGGTTGTACAACGTGGGCAGGTTGTGCAGCTGTGGCGGGGATGTCAAGGACCAGAGTCCGTGGACCCTTGGTCCCTGCGAGTAGCTGTGCGTGTGCCTGCCATGGCGTGGTGTGTGTGTGACGTCCCCTGCTGGGCCCACAACCATCTCTGTACAAAGCCCCGCAGCCCCCCTCCACACACACACTGGCCACCCGCCCCACCCCCAGCTGGGAACAGTGGGTTTCAGTAATTGCTCAGGAAGCACAAGCACAGTGATTAATTATGGCTGCTGAATATGCAAATCAGCTGGGGGTTTTCCCAGCAGCCGCCTGGGCACTGCCAACCACGCTGAGTCAATCCAGGGAGCCGAGCGAGGCCAGAATTCCCTTCTCACACCTTTGTCAATTAACCTTTAATTTACAGGGCGGGGTTTCTCATTCATTAACGAGCTTTGGGCTAATTAAAGCACCCTTATTAAACTATGCATTAATTGTCCCTTCCCTCCATAAGGCCTGCATCAGGATGAGATAATCCAACTGCAGGCAGAATCTGAGCTCTGTATACAGGTCAACCACCATCCCTCATACTCGGGTCCTTCCTGCCTCATCTGGTGAAGTGGGAAGGAGAGACTGTTCAAAGTGGGCCTTGGTGAGCAAGGAAGAGACACTGAGAGACAAATTCAAGTGCGGAACCCAAGGGTCTTGTTTTGTTTAAATAACCATAAGAGGGTCTGTAGCTCAGTGGCAGAGTGTTTTCCTAGCATATGTGAGGCACTGGCTTTGATCTTCAACACCACATAAAAATAAACAAATATGTGATAAATAAATTAAACCAGGCAAACATTGGATGAGCAGTTTCTGGTAGGTAGACAATAAATGGCCATTACCATTGGTATTAATAGTATTAGCACATCTCCAGTGACAAATTCACAGTGGTAGGGCTTTTGAGGACAAGGATATTCAATATTAAATTTTAATTTGTTCCTTTTCCTGAAATGAGACCTCCTGGTGGTCACACATGCTTCCATGCCAACCTTCAGTGAAAGTTGGATTCACTTACCGTGTTAGTCAGGATAATTAATGATAGCTGCTGTAACAAGCAACCCTAAAAATATCTCAGTGGCTTAACACAATCAAGCTGTGTGTTCATATCACCCTCTGATGGAGATCTCCTCCAAGCAGTGACTCAGAGAACCAGGCCCCTTTCAAGTCCCTGATGCAGTTGGCCTTCTGTATTGTCAGGATTCCATCAACTACAGGTTGAAATATTTGAGAAAAAAAAAAAAAAATGGGACTGTTCTAAACAGGTACAGAATTTCTTCTTGTCAACATTTTCCAAACAATAGAATATAACAATGATTTACATAGCATTTACATTGTATCAAGTATTATAAGGAATCTAGATGGGATTTTCAAAATAAATTGGCAGCGCTGGGGATCGAACCCAGGGCCTTGAACAGAACTCTAGTGCTTTACCCTGGCCCAGAACAAGATGTCAAGTGCTGAGCCCAGGGTTTTAATTTGTTTAAATGACCACAAAAATTCCCCTAAGGAAAGGCTGGGAGTATACAGAGAGGTGTGCCAAGGTTATATGCAAATACCACCCCATTTTGTAGGAGGGACTTAGATCCCTGGGCTGTACTTGGAGGAAGGGACTCCAGGAGCCAACCCTGTAGCCTGAGTGACTGATCAGATGGCGCTCCCATGTACACCTGTGACTGCCAAGATTACCTTAAAGGGAAGAAGAGGCCAGAGGATCACACCGGAGATTTTATAGCCACTCGCATCCCATTGGCTAAGGCCCAATCACTGGTCCCAACCTAACTTCAAGGGAAGCAGGAAAATCTATTTCCCAGGATGTGCTCAGGAAGAGAAAAGCCCCACAGAGCGCTGGTGTTGCCACCCATTTTACTTTATTTTTGCAGCGCTGGGATCAAACCCAGGCCCTTGCACATTCGAGGCAAGTCCTCCTGAGCTGCAACCCGGTCCTTCCCCAGCATTTTTGAGATAAGGGTGTTCAAGGGAGGAATTAAGAGGAAAACAGACCCAAGTCTATATTTAGGTGGCTGAAGAGAACACAGAGTAAAGAAATCAGTAGAAGCAATAAATCAGAAGAAGTGGCCAAGAGAAACGCCAGCCCCTCCTTGGTATTTGAGGGTGTCGGGGTTCTTCACTGTGGAGGTATCCTCAAGACTCCTGGCACGCTTCCAGTCTCTGTGAAGTCTACCCACTCCTCTCTATCCCAAACCGTCCCCACCCCATCATTCTCTCTCAGTTCATTTGTTTGAATTTTCTTTCACAACAGTTACCACCAGCAGAAATTGCAGTCTCTAGCTATTTATTTGGGCATTATCTGTTTCCCTTGGGGGTAAAATCCCGAAGGCAGATGCCACATATATCTTCTGTCTCTGGCATCTGGAAACAGTGCCTGGTGTGGAGTGAATACCCCAGAGAACAGCGTAAGGGAGAAGTCGGCGGATAAATGAACTCATCCTCAACCACCAGACAGCAACAGATTTTCTAGAATCAGGACGCTGAGCAACATGGAATAATGAGGAAACCTAAGACAAGTCAGGTGGCCGTAGAGGGTTCAAGAGCAGGAAGGGTAGGGTGGGCAAGGCCTGGGTTTTTTGGGTGGGGGAAAGTCACCTCCGCCTGCAACCTCGGCTCACACCATCCTCCAGGACCCCGAATGAGACTCAACCCCACAATGTCTAACGCCCACCACCATCACCCGATGAATGGAGTGTCCTTAGAACAGACTTTTGTTCAACAATAAAAAGGAATGAAGCCCCAGCAGCTGAGGCAGGAGGATCGTGAGTTCAAAGCCAGCCTCAGCTACAGCGAGTCACTAAGCAACTCAATGAGACTCTGTCTCTAAATAAAATACAAAATGGGGTGGGGGATGCGGCTCACTGGTTGAGTATCCCTGAGTTCAATCCCGGTACCCCCCCAAAAAGGAATGAAGCACTGAACGGTACGCTAAGACACGCTACTAAACAAGCCTAAAAACAACTGCTAAGTGAAAGAAGCTGGGCACAAAGGGCTCTTATTGTCAAACTCTATTTATATGGAATGTCCAGAAGAGGCAAATCTACAGAGACAGAAAATTGATTAGTGGTTGTCTAGGGCTGGGAGGCTGAGAAGAAATGAGGAGCGATTGCTTGTAGATATGGCATTTCTTTGGGGTATGGTAAAAATATTCTAAAATTGATTGTGGTGAAGC